CTCATTTATGATAGACGTGAATCTTGTGTGCATGTCTTGAATGGATCCATCGTCCTTCATTCTGAAGAGCTCATACTTAGTGGTGAGCATGTCAATCTTAGATTGATTTACTTGAGTGGTTCCCTCATGTGCTATTTGTAAAGCTTCCCATATTTCCTTGGCGGATTGACAGGCTGAGATCCTGTTGTATTCATCAGGTCTTATACCACACACCAAAATTTTCTTGGCACGAAAGTTTTTTGCCACAGCTTTCTTATCTGCATCGTTGTATTCTTTCCTGGTTTTTAGCATTGTCACTAGCGGGTCTCCGATCTTCTCTGTTGGGATATAAGGACCATCACAAATAATATCCCACAACTCAGAATCTTCTGCTATGATGAAGTCATGCATTCTTGTCTTCCACCACCCATAGTATTGCCCATTGAACCTGGGCGGGCTGTAGGTAGACTAACCTTCTTCGAAATTTGGTGAAGCAACCATGAGGATCCTTTCTAGGTGTTAACCTAATAGAAAGAACCCGTTCTACTACCAATTGATTGAATATATAAGTCCACCAAACTATATAGAGACCAGGTCCTATATAGGTTTCCATAGATAATTCTAATGCAATAGTAAGTAAATGGAATAGGGAACTTTTACGTGAAAAAATTCCTGCTCAAGGGGATAAAAAACCATGACCTACACTGGTAGGATTTCAACTTTACTATGAGAAAACTTTAGATTACAACCTATGCAATCTAGGAATTAAACTCTTAATCCCTCACTAACTTGTAATACACCTATTACAAGCCATTTTGCAATACACTTATTACAAAGACTTCAATTCACGACTAACTCTAGTCACGACACAAACACTGAAGGTTTATGGTTTATAAGGGGTTCCTAATTAAAGCTTCTGGTTAAGAAAAGTAGGAATTACAATGAAGAACAATTATAGAGTTACAACTCAACTAAGGACATACAAGAGACTTGTTGTAGGAACTGGTCTGTAGTAGTGTTGTACTTTGTTCTTGATGCACTTGAGAATTGAATGCTTGATAGATGAACTGTTGGAGTGCTTGAATGAATTCTCAAGTGTTCAAGTGATGTTTTGTTGTAATGCTCTTTGTTAATACAACTTGGATGACATCACTTGGCTTCGTACTGCTGTCAGGGAAACCCAAAAGGATCAAGTCCCCATGTTGATTCTTTATCTTCTGAAGTCATAGAAACTCACATTAGCTTGAGTCCATTGATTGAGTTGTGTACCAAGTGTATCAGGTCCCTTATCTGGTTCTTTGACAGTAAGTTTGTTAGATCATCAAAACATAAAGCTAAGGTACTGTAAATCCATTAGATATGGAGTTTTTTCCAATTAAAGTAACATTAATCGAAATGGAATTACTTATTTAATTCAAAGTCGCCACTTGAGATATTTATTATGGTATCCCAAGTTATCGATTTATTTAAATCCCAAATCGAGGAAATTGACTCTTATTTATGGTCTACGAATACAGAAGACCGGGTAAAGAATTCTTTTAATTCGGGAGAAGGTGTGAGACACTTCCGAGTTTCGTAGTTTTAGCATGGTTGCTCAACTATTAATAATTGGCCTAATTATCTGATTTAATACATATTTGAAACCTATTGCGTATATTTTTACTTTTTAACCGCCTTTAGTAATTATGGAATTTGTTTGAATAAGTCGTGATGTTGCACAGTCGTTTATTTTTGTACACATTATAAATCGCGCCACGTGAAATGCGCCCGCAGTTTACAATATGTTAATTTTTATTATTATTCAAATTTATGGTCGAATCACATGAAATGCACACTTGGGAATTACGTATCATGACTGCGCCACGAGAATCATATTCATAGTCACGATGATTTATTTATTAATCGCGTCTAAAACATCTAGCACATTTGAATTATTTTCCTAGTCTTTGAGATTGTTGTGATGCCAAATTTATGGACAAAATATTATTGGGGAGTAAATAGACTAGCTAACATGATCTATTACTTGGCCTAAATTCTTTATGGTTCAAAACCCACCTTATGGCCCCTTCTTATTCCTTGCCAAGAAAGAAACGATTCCAATTTTTCTATCTATCCAATTTAATAACTCATTTAAATCACTACTTCAACATGCTAAAGCAAAGGCAACATAACATAACCATATAAGTAAGAAAACTAAATCAAAGTCCATAGCATATTTAACAGAAATCGTCCAACCAAACTTACATGTATTCAAATGAATTAATTTTTAAAGCCAATATATAACCCAAATAATACGCAATCAGTACACAATTAATATTAAAGAGATCAGGTATTCTTCATAGAGCAAATGGAATCCATCACGTGCAAATAGAAACACTAATATATCAAAGCAAGTGTATACTTAAAAGGTAAACAATTAGTGAAAAAGATGGATTCGAATGGACCTTGATGAATAAAGCTGAAAATTTATAACTCAATCAGAATAACAAAGTAACAATCGTTGGACCGAAACATCGAAATTGCGAATTAGAACCTCGAATCGGCACCAGAAAATTTGAAACCCAAACGCGACATCAAAATTCGATCTTCGAACGCTTATCAATGGAAAAACTTTACAAGTGACTCAAAACCCACTTCCACATAACTCCAATCTTCTTTATCACAAAACCCCACTAAAATTCCCAAATACTTAACAAAAGCTATCACAGTGGAACTTCCCAAAAAAACAGACGTGAGTTTTTTTTTCGTTTTTCGTTTTTTTCTTTGCCATTTCCCATCAGCTCTTTTTGGAAATTGGGGTGATGTCTTAGCTTCTTAGGTCCTATTGTGAGCGTGGGGTTCAGAACCTCAAAAATGAGGGGGCGGCTGGAATTGAAAAATTGAGAAGGGCCTCTGGTTCGTGAAGGAGGGTTGAGGGTGGCCCTTTTTTTTTTTTTTTTTTTTTTTTTTTTTTTTTGCATGAGACAATATCTTGAGAATCTTGAGCTTTGATTTTGAATCACAACAGTTTTAAGTTAAAAAAAACCTCAAATTCACAAGATNTTATAATTGGGTTTAAATATGGGTGTAAGAAATGACATGGGCCATTAGATTGGAGGGGAATAGATGACTAAGATTAAATCTTGCATTTAAGTGGAGAGTGACCTAATGGGTTGGAAAGAATGAGTCTTATCTTCGGGCCACTAAAATTCGAAAATGAGATCTCAAGTGGCCCAAATTCAATTCTTTCTTATTGAATAAAAATAAAATAAAAATATTATCAAAATATACTAATTAATCTTAGTTGGTAAGAATAAACTATTAAAGTGAACTATATATATATAAATGAAAATATTTTTGGTGTTTTTTTAAATGTTAGAAATATTATAAAATAATAATAAGCTAAAAAATGTTATAAAATTATTTTTATGTTTTTAAACTTATGTTTTAAAATTAAAATTAAAAATTGACTGAAATACTATTAAAACAAAAATAAGTAAATATTTTTAAAATACTACTTTTAAAAGTTACACGAGTTAAAAATTACTTGTGTTTACCGCTAGTATTATGGCAGAATAGTTTATGAAAGACTGTATGTTTTGGTTTGGGATTTCCTCAATTATATATTATTAAGAAGATTGATAATAATTAGTTGTGTCATCAGGGCACTAGAGCTATTTCTCAAGACATGTGGCTAATAATGTTTTGAGGTTTTCTTTTCAAATTTTAAGTTTCTTTACACAAATTTGCACGCACACCAAAAAAGTAGAAACGGCTGTGTTGACAACATACAAGGAAAGATTACTAGAGTTGACGTATAATGGTTGCAACTTCACCCCTACACGAAAATTACTAATATATAGTCATACTTCCGTGCAATTTTAAGCAGTAGCCGAACCAAATTCAACCAAGAAGTGTCTTAGAAAATTACAATGTATTGTTAGATAGAATTATTTATTTTATGTATATTTATTATACGTTGACTCTCAGATTTTTTGTGTATTTAATTTTTTATATTTTGATATCCCTTAGTGAAAATCCTGATTCAGCCACTACTTTCACGCCCATCAAAAGTCTTATCCCTCTTTATTCATGGGCTTGATCAACTCAACCAAAGAAATTATCTTTAAAATAGCTGAATGAAAATTAAAGTCAAACTACAAATTGGATGGATCAGACGCCACTAAACTCTTCATATAAAATTCTTTTATTTTATGATTATGATAACAAAAATTAGATATTTTCTTTTAATTTTCCGTACACTTTCTTATGAGTTACTATCGTCACCAAAGAAGTTGAAACCTTAAAGGCCACTTAGATATGAGGAACAATAGTCGTGAAGGTTAAGTCGTAGGAATCCAATCGGCGGGTTCTACAGACTTGTCACTCCCAGATCACGACGTGTTAGCAAAAGTGCAAAGATGGCATAAGAAGGCAATACTTTATCTTGAGTCACCCAATTTTTTTCTTTCTTCTTTCTACCAAATAAATAAATAAATAAATACTGTAAATATTAAGATATCATCGCGATTTAAAAGGGTGTTTGACTAAGCTTACAAGCTGGTCAAACTGGCTTATAAGCACTTTTTGACTTATCTACGCGTTTGGTAAAATTAAAAGTGTTTATAAGTTAAGTGCTTATAAGCCAAAAATAAGCCAAAAGTCATATGTTGGTCTCCCCCAACTTATTTAATTTCAGCTTATAAACACTTTAGGTTTGACCAAAATATTTACTATTCTATTCCTAAAATATTTCTTTTTAAAACAAAACTCTTTCATATACCCAATTCTTTAACTGCTTATTATTAATTTCAGCACTTTTATCCAAACACGTAACTGCTTATTTTTAAATCAGCTTCAGCACTTAAAAGTGCTTTTCAGCACATAATACTTATCAACTACTCTAAATCAGCTAAGTCAAATGGGCTCTTAATATAAAATCAAATACTAAGCGCTAGTAAATATTTTTCTTATGCCACATATATATATATCGTCCCACCAACTATATATTTCCCTATATTTCTGGCGCAAGAGAAGGGCGAGTGTCTCAATTTCTATCCAACCAAGCTAACATACTGTACCAAAACTACTGAACTACTACAAATGTTTTGCTCTTCCTTGAAGATACAAAGGTTCTCTCTCTATATATATATCAAGTCTGAGCATTTTGCACTTTCTTTTTCTACTAACAACAACTAAACCAAACTTTGACATTTAATTGCTCACCTTATTTAGACAAAAAGGACTCCTCAACCGCCTATGACAATCATCTTTTATCTCTTCACCATCTGCTTGTCATGTCTCTATCTGAACTCGGATTCCATCAGCCGTTCTGATTTTCCAGAGGGCTTCATTTTTGGAACTGCTTCTTCAGCTTATCAGGTATATATATATCACTTTAATTACTTTTTTCGCCCTTTTCCTTGTTTTCCCCTTAATTTGAACGTACTGTTTCTTTTGCTCTTGCAGTTTGAAGGTGCAGTGGATGAAGGAAACAAGGGAATTAGTATATGGGATACCTTCATCAAGATACCAGGTCATTTTCCATTTTTAATCCTTCAAGGAAATATATCGTCTTTTTTAGAAAAAAGTTAATAATATATATTGTTTCTGATTCCATAGGAAGAATACTGGACTTTAGCAATGCGGACACAGCAGTGGATCAATATCATCGCTTCCAGGTAAAATCATGGACCTTAATTAAGCTACATTGATTGCCAAGTACAGTTTTTTTTTATATGTAAATTCAAGTTATTCATTTTCGGGGTACTTCAACTCATTTTGAATTTCATATTAGTACTAAACCTTTTTTTTAATTTCTCATCCGGTATCCAATACCCACATTGGAGCCCGACTAATTCGGATTCGCGCCAGGAAGTCCTACGTTGGGGTAAAGCGCTCCCTCACAAAGGCGACTCCATACTCAGGGGCTCAAACTCGAGACCTCTAGTTAAGAATGAAAAAGTACTTACCATTCCACCACAACCCTTGTTGATATATAGTAGGAGTACTAAACTTTATTAGAACCACATGTAAGCATGCTTTCGGCTAAGGATTATCTTTGCAGAAAAACCACGAAAAAATGGAAAAAATAAAAGGTGCTGTATGGACAAGTAGGGTTACCTAATCATTTCATAATTAAGCACCGATTGATTAAAATAAGAGAACACACATCGTACTTATCACCTTTAAAAGATAAGAATAACAGTTGCTTCCACATCAGGGTATTCTCTAGGGAAAAAACTACAAAAAAAAAGAGCCTCTTGTCAAAAGTCTCAGCTTTGTCGTTATTTAACTAACTAATACGAGGTGACTTTGACATTACAGAGTGACATAGAGTTGATGAAGAAAATAGGAATGGATGCCTATAGATTTTCAATATCTTGGACACGAATATTTCCAAGTAAGATTTTCTTTCTTCTTTTTTCTTTTTTTTTTCTCCTCTTTTTATTGAGACTATTTTTTCTTCTATTTTGCTTCCTAGCTTACATGTAGCATTATATGTCACAGATGGAACAGGGGAACCAAATCCAGAAGGAATCCAATACTACAACAATCTCATAGACGCCTTACTTCAAAAAGGTTACATTAAGTAACATGTTATCTACAAACCAAACTTTATACATATGAAGCTAATCATTTTGTTGTAAATTCAGGAATTCAACCCTATGCAACACTGTTTCACTGGGATCTACCACAAATGCTTGAAGATTTGTACGAGGGATTTTTGAGCTATCGAATAATGTATGTACTTCAACGACCATACGGTCTTTCAGAAGTGAAGCACAAATTTTCATCTGATAAACTCTATTTCATTACAGACATGAATTTGAACGATACGCTATAACTTGTTTCAAAGCATTTGGGGATAGAGTAAAGCATTGGATCACCTTTAACGAGCCTCACGGTTTTACAATTCAAGGTTATGACTCAGGAGTTCAAGCTCCAGGAAGGTGCTCTATTCTTTTCCACGTTTACTGCAGGAAAGGAAAATCGTCTATCGAGCCATATATTGCAGCACATAACATTCTGTTGTCTCATGCTGCTGCTTATCATGCTTACCACAAAAAGTTCAAGGTATATGTTAATGACTACTTAATTAAAAAAAGAGAAGGAAAATAGTATTTGGACATTCTTTTCTTATTCACCTAGTATTCCAGGCAAGTCAAGGAGGCAAAGTGGGGATAGCATTAGATGCTAAATGGTATGAGCCGCTTTCAGATTGCGAAGAAGACAGAGCTGCAGCAAGTAGAGCAATGGATTTTGGACTTGGCTGGTAATTTTAGTCATGTATTTATTGTAATAATGTGAATTGGGGGTGAAGATAATTGAGTGATATAACGAAAATAAAGTGACTCAGGTTCCTTGATCCACTTCTACTTGGGAATTATCCTCTTTCAATGCAGAAGTTGGTGGCAGAAAGACTGCCTGAGATCAGTCCCGAGGTGTCAAAACTGCTCAAGGGGTCTTTGGATTTTCTTGGCATCAATCACTATACCACGTTATATGCTCGGAATGATAGAGCAAGGATCAAGAAGCTTGTATTGAATGATGCTTACTCTGACTCTGCTGTGATAACTACCCGTAAGATATCAAAAGTACTATTACTATTTCATTTGGATGATGAATCAAGAGTATTAACTGATGACCCTTTGTTTCTTCAGCTTTCAGGCGTGGAGTCGCAATTGGAGAAAAGGTATGCTTAGCTAGTTGCTTGTGAGACTTTCATATTTGCTTCAAGTGGTGATTTTTTTCCTCAAGAGCATGTCATCCTCCAGGCTGCATCTGGTTGGCTGCGCATTGTCCCCTGGGGCATTCGGAAATTAATGAATTACATCAAAGATAAATATGGAAACCCGTTGGTGATTATTACTGAAAATGGTAAGAAATGTCATCCTACACAAGTAAGAAACATTGAGTAAATATGAGTAATAAAGCCATGCTTGAATTTCTTGATTGCAGGTGTCGATGAACCTAACAAATCGCGTATCACATTAAATGATGCGTTACAAGATGACAGCAGAATAATTTACCACAGAGACTACCTCTCAAATCTTTCTGCTGCCATAAGGTGCTTACTAGTCAGCTGGCTTCCCTATACTAAAACTTTGATTTTGGTGCATTTCAGATTACTTCGCTTCGGAATAATTACTGATCTCCTGGTTATTCTGTTCATACATCTAATTTAACAAAAAGTCAAACTAATGCAGGGAAGACAACTGCAATATCAAAGGTTACTTTGTTTGGTCACTACTTGATAACTGGGAATGGAACTCAGGTTATACTGTACGGTTTGGACTATACTATGTAGACTTCAAGAATAATCTCACAAGGATACCAAAATCCTCTGCTAAGTGGTTCAAAAGCATGCTGATGTCAAAGAGAAACCTGAACATAGAGTAAAGAAACCTGCTTAATGCGTTTGAATACGCTGATGACAGAAGCAAAGATGATACTGTAAAATTTGATCAATGTATATTAGTATCATTTCTTGTACATTTTGTGACATAAGATACTGTAAAATTGGATCTATGTACATTAGCTTTCATAGCCTGTAAATTTTGTACCATTAACGAAGAATACAGGACATAGTTGAATGCAATTGTTCAATAAAATACAAAAAATTCAGAGGAAGATGAAGCATTTGATGTCTGTTCTCTTTTCTTTTTCCAGATCCAGCTAACCCATTCTGTAGCTCAAAAAGAATAGTTAAGGGTATAGAGAATGACAACAGGCTCTGCAGATTATGTCGCATAATTTGCTCAAGTAGATTTGAGATTCCTACGATCAGTGGTGGACTAAGTAGAAGGAAGGGAGTTCACTAGACCCTTTCTATCGAAATTATACTCCACAAATAGGGTAAAAATGATTTTTTTTTAAAATTAGATGTAAGTTGTTGAATCTCCTTGACATGAAGAAAAATTCTGATGAAGTGGCAAAGGAGTTCAAAATTTGCCAAGTTCAAATCTCGTATACGACATTCTATTATTTTTTTAAATATCCTTGTATAAATTCCTGACTCTACCACTTACAATATTACAATAAACAGCAACTGTTCTCTTGGAAAACTAACTTTTGGATCGGTGCCTTTCCTATAACATGTAGTAAATCCTTTACATTCCAAAAATCACAGATTGCCAACCGATTTTTTATTACTTGCGTGATCCCACATATTTGTGCGTGCGTTTGAGAGCCAACAATGTGCAAATCTTGCTCGACGAGTTTAGAAGACGGAACCACTCATAGTTTAGAGTCTTGTTTGAATGAGAAAGGTCTTCTCGCTGATGCTTGGAGTGAAAAATGACCTCTAGCTATCCCCGTTAAAAATCTTTTTATAACCAAAACTAAAAAAAAATAAAAAGAAGACATAAGCAATAGACTTTTGAGTGCAGCATCCAGGAGCAAAGAGAAATTGGTACATCCAGGACATATTTTGCCATAATTTAGAGATTCCGTTGTAAGTGCCATTATGGAGAAAGAGTCCAATCACCACCCATGAGGGGCAAAGAACCACTCAGTTAAAAGCCAGAAAAATGAAAGAAAAATAACGACCATACAGCGACAAAAGTTAGTTCTGCATCTAACTCCATATTATCAAGGTTGAAAACAGTGACGGCAAAACATCCAATTTCGCCGTGCGTGGAAGAAAACGGACAGGTTGATAAAAAGAAAAAACCGGATACCATGTAGAGAAAATGCACTTTGATCTTTAAAAGCCCTGCAAAATACATATTGTCCCCCACAATCCAAGTTAATGTCACATGCAGATGCAGCCAGTGACTGCTAAATGCCAAAATCATCTTACCGCTCAAGATGAACCTGAGTGAAGAAATTGAGACTTTAAACACTTTCAAAAACGGCTTTATTTAATTTACAAGCCTCGTCGGTAAGTCGATCATAGTCCCTATTCAACCAAAACCATCAATACTTCTACCAAAAGAAACTGTAACGCACAGTTATGTAACTTCGGCAATTGAAATAACTTCAGGGACATTGATAATTAATGGCGTTTCAGGACGACAACCATAATAGCCATGATTGCCAAGCCGATGAAAGATGCTCCCAACGTCTTTTCCGCAGCGCCTAACTTAGCACTTCCATCAGCTTCAATAAAAACCTTGTTGCCTCCGAAGAGATTGTTAAAGTAATCTGATAAGCTGCTCATCATATCGATCACTGTTTGTGTCACTGTACGTTTCACATTCTGCAAAAAACCTGTAAATGAATTCTTGGATTTAGACTCTTCCGCCTCAGATTTGGAAAACGCACTCCTTGGAGATGACTGAGAAAAGGAATCAGTATCAGCAACGGACTCATCCATCTTTTGATCCGAGTCAGGGAAGGATGCACCTGCAATAATGGGAATACAGTAAGAAGCTTGGACCATGATGAGCATTTTGAAGAAAATCAAGGACATTCATTTCTCACTGGTTTTCTGTGAGACGAGGAATTCTTGAAGGGCTGGATTCTGCAGTACTGCAGTCCACACATTTGGGTCACAGGCAATTGAAGCAACAACACTCTGGGAAGCGAGAAAAATGAAATTAACATTAGCAAACATGGAGTACTCGTGACCTCCGGACACTCCAAAGAGCTTCACAAAGTTGTTATATGTGTGCACTCGGATGCCAATATGAGTAACACTACAAAAATAAAAAAGACTCAAGCAGATTCTACTTCTAATTCTATAGCACCTAACCCGTCTAGGCCGCTTCGTGTTCACGCCTCTGTGATAAAATTTGCATTAAGAAACCTAACAACACCGGCCCTTTAAACCCGCAAAATTGAATATCATGGCAAATTACAATAAATGAATTTTCAGAAAATAAAATAAACACGCTGATGAAATCCCTAGCAGGTGAACTGCAGGGGCAGGGGACGTTATCTTGTACGGTCATTGCCATTCTAAGAGTCAAATTATAGTTATGTTAACCAACCTGCTGCTTCTTTGAAATTTAAAGACAGCATCTCACAGATCAATATTCCACTCTACTGAGATAGAGCTCTTCTACAGATGTCAACATCTAGCGAGTAGTGTCAAAAGAAAAGTCATATAAGCTCCATCCTACTGCACACTGGCAAGGATGAACAGCTATAAATTCTCTAGTCATTCGCACCTCCAAGAAAACATCCTCTGTTCAAACAGATCTCACGGGTACAAGTAGGGACTGTTTATACAGTTTAATTTTGTATTTTAACTAATATTTGATTCAATTTCTGTTGACCAGATCTTCATATTTGGTCAAATTGAACAGTCATATTCATTCCTCATCCTAGTAACTGCTTATACTAAAAAATTAAAAGAAATAATTGCTATATCAAGTGTTCCTGTCAGGAACATATAGTGGTAGATAGGATAGGAAAACTCAAAATTCGAAAACATAAATGACAAAGCAGAAAACCTGAGCTGCAGGAGTTTCACTTAGAAACCTAAATGCCTGTATAGCATGTTTCGGCGCGGACGGAGTAACTACAGTCTCGCTGACAACACAGGCTTTTGAGAAGGGCAATAAGCTTGAGCCGGAAATACAAGAACCTCCATAATCACTAGCAGGTGGGGACAAATATACCCTGTAAATTTAAGAAGCATTTTGAATTACCACTATGTTAGTAGTTGATCGCAATAACTATCAGATCAGAAAAATATCTTTTGCGCAAATATAACGGCAGAGTGACATTGAGAAGTCAATATCACAACCAAGTACAATATATCCACCAAATCCCAGGCCATAAATCTTTGCATGTGGCCAAAGGTTCATGGTTAATGGCAGTATGAAAAGATTAATGGTACCAAAATTATTAGCAGATGAAAAGATTAATGGTACCAGAATTATCAGCAGCTCGAGAGCCTAATTGACAAGCTATTTTCATTTTTATATTCCATACAAGGAAGAATTCAGCATGAAGTTCTTTTTCCTTCTCCTTTCCCTTCATCCTTTACAGGTCCAATACTAAGGTATGTCACTTTACTAACAGTCACAGAAACGAGAGCATCTGAACTCTCGCAAAGTGTCACACAACTATAGTACTTATGAGAATATGCAGCTCATGACACGAAATAAGTTGAAAAGGCCCTTTCTTTTTCCGGCAAAAACTTTCCGCATCTGATGTTTATAGAGGCGGATTCAAAATTTAGGCTCTATAGATTCACCGTTTAAGGTTTTTAGTATTGAGCATTGAGCGCATTGTATTTTCAAAATTATGGGTTCTTATACAATGCAATTTTAGTGAATTATTACACATGTGCTCAACGATAAAAGTAATGGTTTCACATGAAGTTGGTAACGCAATGCATCCCCCTCTGGATATTTACACTACTCAAATGAATACATGATACATGCTTTAACCTACAATCTTATCACTAGATCATAGTTAATTAGACACATTATCACCTTAATTTATGAAGTAGCCACGGTAGCACAGTATGATTTTGGTCTAAACACCAGGTTTGGGTACGTTTTAAACCTTTTTTGAGGGGATAACCCAAAACGCCTTAACAGCATAAATGCCTTACTTAACTTCCCTCCGTTTACTATGCGTGTCAATATGAATAGTAAACACAACCCTGCAAAGTTATTTGCAGTCAGTTCCACAGACTAAAAGGTGCCTCCTTTCAAATTTTACTTCGTATTGGGATAATTCCATGCTACATAGAAGTGAAGCAACATAGACAACATGTCCCGTTTTATTCGACCGAGTAAAAACAGATTGAACAAAAGGTTTAAATAGCAAAGAGTGTTCTCAATCTAACCAATCAACGGAGTATTCACTCAATACTTTGCAATTGAACATTTATTCTAAAGTATCCCATTGTGTTGAAAGAAAACCAATAGCAACTAAATTTAGTACAGCAAAAGAAAAAAAATTCTCGTGAAGGAGAAGTTAGATAGTTAAAGCGTACTTTTCGAGAGCGTCTTTGAGATCAGAAGTAGCTTCTGTAGCTTCCTGGAGAGAAGGTGCTCCACCGAATACGACTCTTGGCAGCGGCTCACCAGACTTCACCATCATGTCCTCCTCGCCGCCGGCCATCTCCCAGTCATCAAACTCCGACATCTTTTGCACCGGAGACACATCGATTGAGCTACCATGAACCACGCCGGACTTGACATCTTCCGAGGATGATGTTATCGCGGACACCGACACCGGACGGACGACGTTACGTGCGGCTGTAAAAACTGGATGCTCCGCCGTTACAGAGCGGAAGCCGCTGTTCGCGACGGTGACTCCGGCTACTTTCGCCGCTGCTCTGAACGCTCCTCCGCCACCCATGATTTTCGTGATTATCTCTCTCTTTCGAATTCGACGAAGAAAATATGTGACCCAATTCTTTAAGGAACGAAGAGAACGATTGCGTGTAAGTTTCGTGGTAAGCGAGGAGTCGATGACACGTGTCAATGATGTTGCTTAGTTAGGAAGATCTTTGTTGTTCGGATAATATTCCCAAATAAAGAAAAAATTGACTTGTGATTTTTTTTGAAAAGTTGAAGATTAACTTTAAGCTTCAAGCTTAATTAAAAAAGATTGACATTGCTATCAAAAATAACGAGGGAATATATATATTCCTAAAATGTTTAGTTAAACGAATTTTAACTGATATCTCATACCAAAAGAGAAAATGATGAAAAAAGAATAAAAGGAGA